AATATGATAAAAAACTCTCTGCATTAACTTTGTTTATGATTTATCAGGAATTTGAATTTATTTGCTTGTTCTTCTATGTCTAGGAAGTTGATTCATTCAGTGCTCTTCATATTTTGGTGTACTTCAATTGTTTCATTTCTCATCTCCAGAAGTTTCGCCGCTTGACTGGAAGAGAACAGCGATGCTACAGAACCGGAGGAGGTCAATGAATTATCTGAAGGTACTGACTATGTCCTCTAATGAAAAAATTTTTGGATTGAAACGTAAATTTTTTTCCCGGACAAAAGTATGGGGGGTTGGTTATGCTCCACAGCAACTGTGTTTTGGTTTGAAACATTGAAAAAATCAAGCACACAATAGAAGCCGGTGATTGGCTAATAATATTTTGTAAACAAACCCGCTGATTGGACTAGAAAAAATGTGCTAGTTTGCCATAAGAAGAAACACATTATGTCTAGAATCATAAACCAATTTCTTTCAAGGTTTTTGGAGTAATTGGTATTTTTCAAGCATGCGATATCCTTTTTGTGAGAAGAAACAGTGAAGGCTTTATCACAGAAAAGTCGAAATAGGCCAATCAGAAACACGAGCACATGACTGTATAGGTTGACCAATCAGTGCCGCTTGACCAATCAGATCCACAACTGGGTATATATATTTCTTAGCGTGGAGTTTTCGATCTATGTTCTGACGTTTTAAACTCTGAAGAGTGTCAGACGAAAAGCTTTAGTTTACTAAATGTTTGCTTTTTTCAAAGCCATTTACAAGTTTTGTACCACCAAAAGGTTGAATCCATTTTCACTGAAGGAGGTTGCACAAATGTGGGACACGTGACTACAGGGCACTGTTCAAAGTCACGTCACCCAAATGGCTGTAACAAAAACCCACTTGTAACCTTGCAGTCTCTTTGAAAAGTTATGCCAAGGAGAGTTTTTCTATTAGTTATGGTTTAATGGAATTTTTGTGCCTTTGACTTCCTTAAATTTTTTCGAGCGCACTCGGCACGTTTTACTTGGTAGTTATCAAGTCGTCATTTCCCATATCGAAGATTGTAATGGAATGTTTGAGGAAGGCCCAACTGGGACGGTTTGGCTTGGATTAGAATGGATCTTTGACTACAATGAGGGGTATGTAAATCCGATAAAATACAAAAAACCCTAGAGATTTTTGGCAATAATCTAGCTTTATTCCAGAAGCGTGTTTTAACAGTTGAGGGGGCTGGCTATCTGACCAAAAATAACTATTAACCGGAAATCAAGTTACGAGGGTATAAAAAAGCAGACTCGTGCAGTTTTAGCAGTTTCGCTTGGAAGCAGAGAATAGAGATATTCTGTGTCAGAGGAGAGGTTGAAAAGCACGTCTGAGCTGAGAACGCTGTAAACCTGTTCCAAGATGAAGGTCGTGTTGCTGTTTTGTGTCCTTCTTGGATTTGTCATTTCAATCAATGGTAGGTGCAGCCTTGCTTGCTATTTTTTGTTTAAAGAGCTGGCGAAAAATGACACATGTACTTGATTATATTTATTAGCACTTCAAATAACTGCATCTGTTTCATAGTGGCCCCCAAAGCTTAGAAAAGGCTTCTCATTGTAAGTAAATAGAAATTTATTGTGACGAGTAATAATTTTCGTTGGACTAGATTGTATAAGTTGAAGCAAAGATGTCGTGTTAACCACAATTACTTGCTCTCGACTTTGAGACTGACTTTACCCAGAGACAATCAGCTTTTTTGCTCGTAAATACACTATAGTACTAAGCCCATGACATTTTGCATATTCACCGAGCAACTATTTATTCAAATAGCGAGGCTTACATTGCGTTTCTTTAATTTCATAGGTGCAAGGGTTGAGGAACCATTGGTGGAGAAGAGTGTTCCGAAAGAAGTTGATGTAGAGGAAGATTTCTGTAGCAGCGATAAAGAAAATGAGCCAGAAGCTGAAGAGCCCTTTGAAGACGAGGACAGTGATGCTGCAGGACTGCACGATGACAGCGATGCTACAGAAATGAAAGAGGACAATGAATTATCTGAAGGTACTTGTCCCAGAGGGGTAATCCCATTAAGGCCTGACAGTGGGGTCCACTCCGTTTAGGGGTCTTACCAAACGAACCAGTTTCGATAATAACACAACGGCTTCAATAACTTAATTTCCATCCGTATGCTACCATTTGAGGCTTATTGTCAAAAAGGTATACCATTTGAGGGCATTTTTAAACATTTTAGCTTTGGCTTTCTTTCACTCTAACTGGACCTCCCTGTTAGGCCGCCCCCCCCCCCCGGTTGTCTTTTAACGTCTTAGAATCTTTGGCAATAAGATGTGTAGAAATTTCAGTCGATGTAAAAGTTTACACTTCTAACAATAGCTTTCAATGTTATTTATTGGTAATTGAGGCTCATTATGGTCCTCATACAATCAAATATCGAAATTTTGTCTTTTTTTAGTTATTATGAAATCTTTATTTAAATTTTTTAATGGTCTCTTTCAGATAGTTCTGATCAGTTAGCAAAGGACGGCTCTGTATCTGATCCACACTGGCGGAGACGCAGACGCAGGCGCAGACTTTTTTGGCGCAGACGTTTTTGGCGGAGACGTTTACGGCGAAGACGTTCTTGGCGCAGACGTTCTGGGCGCAGACGTTCTGGCCGCAGACGTTCTGGGCGCAGACGCTCAAGGCGAAGAAGATCGTGGCGCAAATGATACGGAAAATAAACGAAGAAATTTTTAAGATCCGTCATTTTAACTTGTGTTTTTATGTTTGCTCTTTTAAAGCGGTTGATTTAGATTGACTGAGAAGGAAATTGGGTTTTTTTTCATTTGTATTCTGACAGGGACCTAAATCATTTAGCATTAGACAATGAGCTCTGTTCGCTTCAAAATGGCAAGTGCCTATCCATATTTTTGAAGGATGAAAAAGGAAAGCAAAAGGTCTAAGGATCGTTCCTTTATGATATTCGCAGCTAGGGGGGGGGGAGGTGATTTGTGCCCCATCAGATAGATTATTGGGCTTTGGAGATGGGGTATCTACCACCAAATGTGATTCGTTGCGGAAACTCTATCTGAAAAATGCAACATTTTGTGAAATATTAGAACCGGTATTCTTATATTAGGAGGATGAACCTCAATGCCGGCGACTCCAAAATTACCGTGATTTTGCCTTTTTACTTAAAAATACTTAGATTATGTTAAAGTTGTTTTAACGTTAAAAAGATTAGCCAAATTTACCACTAATAATACGAAAATACCGCATGACTGGGAAAATACTTATGACGGAAACTGAAACTTCAAGAACATAGCGCTGTTACCCTGGTATGGCTTGGCGGTATAAAAAATTTTAACCATAATAATATTTGCTTTAGAATTGAAATAACCTATGAAGAATCTTTATTTTATCTGATGAAACATTCTTGCAGTGTAACATTCTTGAAGTTCTGATTAATTTCATACTTGTTGCAGTTTTCGACTTAATTTGTAACAAAAAGGTCACTACTTTGCTATCATGTAGTATATCGGTGCCAAGAAAGTGCTTTAGAATTGCAATAACCCCACAAAGTGATTGAATTTTTTTCTTATACCAAAATGTCTATTATTTCAATGTTCTAAACGCAGAAATCACCCTTATCATCTTTATCCTGAATATTCCAAAGTACACCCTAGTTTCCTATTAAACAGTCAGGCTGTTGGTCATATAAATATCTAGCAAGTAGAGAGCTCATCCCAAAAGCTGTGAAAAACTGCACAAAGTATGTAACACTGGTAATTGTCTCTTTAATTGATATGCTTGCTTCATAACTTTTAGAGATTGTTCAATCTTCATAATTTGCGAAAAATGGAATCTTCCCTGTTTACTTGCTAGGGGGACGTTGTACATGCCCTCTACCTGCTAGGAATTACGTAGTGAAGGTCCAACCTTGAGGTCAAAATCTTAAGAAATCTTACGCAAATTTGAGGTCTAGCACCTAGTAGAGTTGATTTTTGGAAACATTCTAAAACAATTCTCTATCTTTGTTTTTGTTCATTTCACCTATTTTGAATCATCAGCCATGCAAATGGGTTGCCAAACTCAGAGTTAGCAAAGTCAAATCAAAGGTTTCAAAAATCCAGTTAAAGCTAAATTTGGAAAGGAGGCTGAGGGGCAACAAAAATTGTAATTATGAAAATGACGTTGCTCTTGTCCTATAATGTAGAAAACAGATTCTACATCAACAATGATCCAATAAAATTAAATTCCCTTTGAAAAAATTTTACGTCATTGTAAAACAACCTTCATACAGAATTGGTGAGTTTCATCTGATAAATTTTGATTAATTGAAATAAATCACGTCTGATAAGTGACATGGTACGCCTTTTCGGTGTCCCTTGGCCTTTTTTGGCACAGGTTGTACTATTGTGATGCGTTTGTTCATTGTAGCAGCGCTCGAATAAGCATTATATTGTGTCTTTTACATGCCCAAAGCAACACGCGTGCAAGTGTGCATTGGCATTGGGTGTACAGACTTTATGTTCCCACCATAGTCTCATCCTGACACGTTACAAGACAACCTAGAGTTGGACTGTGGAGAGCAAAGGTTTTTCCCAGCGATGCAAACGGCTAAATTGACACACTACCTCTAGTGGCATTCGGTTCTTTTGCTAAATTTTACGCTGAAACTGGTGAGATTATTTTCAGTTCTTCCTCTTGAGTTACATTTTATTTTCTTATTCTTACACAGTGATTGGGAATGTCTTCTCAAAAGATGCACGCCTATTGCTGAGCAACGAAATGCTTATTTAGCTTACATGCAAATCTTTGAGATGAATTATTTTGGTTGTTGTTTGACAAACCTTTTACTACTTTTTACCATCAATCCAGGCTTATCTGAAAACTACTACAAAGATGAATATGTCTTCACCCATGTCATTTTGTTTCGTTTTTGTAATTTGCATTATTGCCCAATGTTTAATCATTTAGCTCCCCCTTTTTAAAGTTTGATCAAAGTTTGGAGTAGTTTAATCGTTTGCCTTGCAAATAACTACTTTCGCTTGCTACATGGCTCTTTTCAGTTCTCTTGTAGTTGTTTTCCTCCAGTTATTCCAATCAAACTTTCTTATGCAAACACCTTTTACAAGCTTCAGCCAATTACTGGGTTCAGACTTGGGTAGTTTATGCTAGGTTAGTGGCCCAATATAGACCCCCCACCCCCCCGACCCTCCTCCCCTGCAAAAAGGTCAACAAGCTGTTTCTTGTGAAATGCAAAGTTTTCCGATGGTAGATGATCTTGCTTATTTCTGAGAAAGGTGCGGAGTTAGTTTTCAATGCCATCCTGGGTAGGGTACTGAAGTTCTGAAGTTATTTTCACGTGAGATTCACCAGGCAAAAAAGGTTTTTCTGTTGCCCTAACTACAGTATATATTTTTTCTTTTGGCTTTCTTTGAAATGGCATTTATGTTTTTCTGTGTCGTCTTATCTTTTCCCTTTCGATCAGTTGTGAAAATGCTGTTTATAATATTCGTTTTTAGCAACATAAAAAGGCCTGTCATTTGGTTAAAACGACTATAAAGAGCATCAAAATTGGCCTCCCAAACGTCGAAGAGCTGTTGCTCTTTGCATTTTGTTCTATGTTTGTCATCTCAGGTTGGATTTTTTTGCTTTCTTGGAAAGTGTTTAGCAAAGCATGTGAGCTGAAAGTAGCAAATATTTGAAAAAAACTTTGCAAAAGAAATTTTCAGCAGTTTTACAAGTTACTCTCGATTAAAAATATTTTCAATATATTGATTAATCAACTTACAATGTTTTCTAATCATTGTAAAGCTTGCAATTTTTTTTGGATAGGATTTGATGCTTACTCTCTCTTCCCTTAGTTTTTACTAGCGAAAGGTAGCATCATCACGAACGACTGTTCTATTTGAAAAGGTTATTGGAATCTAAAAAAGGTAGATCTAAGAGAAAACTACTGTACCAGCTCTTGGCATCCTGGAACACTTCATAAACGCTACATTATGTTCAACATCAGTGTAATTTGCAAGAGTCCTCCATGTGTGGAGGCACCTGGTTCTGGAGGACACAATCCCTTGGTTTCACTGGTAAGGGTCCTCTGTCTGTGGAGGCTCTTGGTAATGGCTGACAAGACTCTAGTATTTATGGACAAGTTTTCTTACAGAGGCATCAGAGATAAAGATGGAAGATCGGTTGTAGTACTGTTAAATCTTCTCTTCTTGCTGACTTCACTGGTAAGTTTCTTTTACAAATTTTGTTTCTTTTCTAGTAAAATGATTGTTTTGAAAGTCTATGATGAACTGACAGCCGTAACGTTACTAAGGTGTTGTTCTCTCACGGACATTTTTTTCTTGTTTTCTTATTGGTTTATTTTGAAGGGTTTTGGGAGTTTCGCTCGTAGCGGATGAAGGCCATTATTTCTTCTTCTAACCCCCCCCCCCCCATTCCCAACGACAATAGCAACAACATGGCCTAACCATTTTTCACTCAAGACTCTGTTGTAAAGTGAACATAGCAACGCGATTGCATATAAAAAGACAAGCAACAGCGGTGTTTTAGTTACATTTGAAATCTTTTATGATCGAGAAGAAGGAGTTGAAATACAGCTAAGCGTTGAAAAATCAGAAAACTGACAAAGCGGGACATGGAAGGGTCACAAAAAGGGATCTATCATTGCATGAACAGCGTGTATTAGTAAAGCCAGACATGAGGGGTGTCTGTGAGCATGTGGGCCTAATCCTATCGTAACTTTCTTCCTGTTACCTAAACAGCCGTGAAACTTGCTAAACTTGCTTGAAAAATAAGTAGTCGCTTAGCTGAGAAATACCCTTTCCGCTGTTTTTTGACTTGGGAACTCTACCAACCAACAACTGTCAGTAACAACAACAATTTTGGTGCACCCAAAAACGACCTTTAAAGGTTATAAATGGCAACTAATTCTTTGAATCTACCATCAGTAAAGAACATAAAGGATGTGTGTAATTTATGTTTACAACTGTTCTACCACGGTCATACATAGGCTTGCAAAGTTTGTTTAAATGGAATATTCTGAACTTGACAAATACTGGTGAAAAACTCGTGAAATTTAACATAGTTATTTGCTGCAGTATAATAGCGAAATAGTCAACGCTTTTGTTCAAGTGTTTGGTTACCGTCTTGGAAGAATATCGTCTTGATATTTCCGATACTAGACACATAACTCACTCCAACTAAATTAGAACTATGAGTGGCATCAAACATTCTAGAGAAGACTGTAATGAAGAAACTGATTTTTATGTTATGAGCACTATCGTTCAAACGGAACTAAGCATTTACAAAAGATATCGGATTGAAATCCTCAGTATTCAAAAATGTATCTTACAACAAAAGTAGAAATAGTTTTGTAAATAAAAGTTCTTCTTCCCATCTTGATCATTTCCAGCAAACAAATCCTCGTATACATCCTCTACGCTTTTTTGCCTGAAGTTCCTCAATGATGTTTTCTTTCTCCGCAACTCTTTGCATAAGGTCCTCGATGACTCCCTTCA